GTGGTTGGTCAAAGCAGTCACATGGTAAAACCTCACGTGATCACCCGAACACAGCGGTAATGTGATCCATTGTGTACGGGCGACACACCAATCACCATGATCCAGGGTACGCACTCTGAACTTCGCACAAGCCATCGATGCGATCTGACATTCAGGAACGTCAGCCTGCATCCGTGCTGCTTCCTGTTTGCCGTCTATGTACAATGGGCGACCGGGAAAAAGTTAATCAGTTTCAGCTACTTTGGTGTTAGGGAAATTAACAAATTCACTAGATGGGCAGCAATGAGACAACTCCCAAAACAGGAATCGTTTTACAGGTGGAGACCCCAGATATTTTTTTTTTCCCTACTCCCTCTTTTCTGGCTGTTTTTCACTAGTTTTGCATTTGGCTAGGGTCAGTGTCACTACTGGTAGCCTGAAGTAATATCTGGACACTACCAAGGTTGCACAGGCAGTCCAACTCTTCCAGGATGACACATCATTACTTGCCATTGCCAGAAGGTTTGCTGTGTCTCCCAGCACAGTCTCAAGAGCATGGAGGGGGATTCCAGGAGACAGGCAGTTACTCTAGGAGAGCTGGACAGGGCTGTAGGTCCTTAACCCATCAGCAGGATCGGTATCTGCTCCTTTCTGCAAGTAGGAACAGGATGAGCACTGCCAGAGCCCTACAAAATGATCTCCAGCAGGCCACTGGTGTGAATGTTTCTGATTGTTTGGTCAGACTTCATGAGGGTGGCCTGAGGGCCCGGCGTCCTCTAGTGAGCCCTGTGCTCACTGCCTGGCACCATAGAGCTCGTTTGGCATTTGCCATTGAACACTGGAATTGGAAGGTCCACCACTGGCGCCCTGTGCTTTTCACAGATGAGAGCAAGTTCACCCTGAGCGTATGTGACAGACCTGAAAGGGTCTGGAGAAACTGTGGAGAATGTTATGCTGCCTGTTACCTCATTCAGCATGACCATTTTGGTGGTGGGTTAGTGATGGTCTGGGGAGGCATATCCATGGAGGGATGCACAGATCTCTACAGGAGGAGTGGAGCCGACAATCGCTGCAGGGAGGTAGGGAAAGACCTGCTGTGACGGAAGTGCTGGAGTGTCTGACGGGTGCTGTGGATGACAAGTGGGTAGGTCGCAACTCATTTCTGAGGCTCCACCTCCTTTATCAAGTTCATAAAGGAGGCGGAGCTTCAGAAACACATTGCGGCCCGCCCACTTGTCATCCGTGGCACCGTCAGACACTCCAGCTACTCGACGGGAGCGGACATAGGGACACCGTGCACTTCCATCACAGCGGGTCTCCCTACCTCACTGCAGCGATTGTCGGCTCCACTCCTGTAGAGAGAGAGAGTTGTCCTTGCACACTGCGTTTACCAGGATACTGGCATGTGTTCACATGTAAGTGTCTCTTGAATAAAGTTACATTGTTTTTATTCACATTGACCGGGCGCCCTGCTGTGTTTTCCTTGAAACGACGGGGCATCCTTACGTTCCTAACACATTACCCAGTCCATATCAGTATAGATATCCAGCATGATATTTTTCCCCATTGAGATCTGATGTGTTTTCAAAGTGTACCTTTAATTTTTTTGAGATGTGTGTGTATAATATATATACAGTTGTGTTCAAAATAATAGCAGTCAGACATCACTAACCTGATCAATCACTGTTTTTGGTAGAAATTATATTTCTACATGGCAAATAATTTACTAGCAGTTGTAGTAGAGTAATAGAAATCCAATAGACCCAACAGTCATGACATGCATGCTGCTGCTGTGTAATTGAATCACTAATTGAAAGGGGCATGTTCAAAATAATGTGTAAGTGTGGAGGTCTATTAGTGAGGTCATTCTTTGAAAAACAGGTGGCAATTATTGCCCTTATTTAAGGAAGGAAGGCAGCAAATGTTGTACATGTTGGTTACAGTGCATTTCTCTCTGAAATTCTGAGGAAAATGGGTCGTTCCAGACATTGTTCAGAAGAACAGCGTACCTTGATTAAAAAGTTGATTGGAGAGGGAAAAACATATAAAGAAGTGCAGACAATGATAGGCTGCTCAGCTAAAATGATTGCAAATGCTTTAAAATGGCAACCAAAACCTGAAAGACGTGGAAGAAAGCGAAAAAAAAAAAAACTACCATTTGAATGGATAGAATAGCCAAAATGGCAAGGACTCAGCCAACAATCAGCTCCAGGAAGATCAAAGAAGGTCTAAAGTTACCTGTGAGTACTGTTACAATTAGAAGACACCTATGTGAAGCCAAGCTATCTGCAAGAAGCCCCCGCAAAGTCCCACTGTTGAAAAAAGATGTACTGAAGAGGTTACAATTTGCCAAAGAGCAGCACATTGACTGGCCTAAAGAGAAATGGCGCAACATTTTGTAGACTGATAAAAGTAAGATTGTTCTTTTTGGGTTTAGTGGCCGGAGACCGTTTGTCAGACAACCCCCAAACACTGAATTCAAGCCACAGTACACTGTGAAGACAGTGAAGCATGATTGCGCAAGCATCATGATATGGGGATGTTTCTCATACTACGGTGTTGGGCCTATTTATCGCATACCAGGGATCATGGATCAGGTTGAATACATCAGAATACTTGAAGAGGTCATGCTGCCTTATGCTGAAGAGGAAATGTCCTTGAAATGGGTGTTCCAACAAGACAACGACCCCAAACACAGCAGTAAACGTGCAACATCTTGGTTCCAGACCAACAAGATTGACGTTATGGAGTGGCCAGCCCAATCCCCGGATCTTAATACAATAGAAAACTTGTGGGGTGATATAAAAAATGCAGTTTCTGAGGAAAAACCAAGAAATGGAGAAGAACTGTGGAATGTAGTCCAATCATCCTAGGCAGGAATACCTGTTCACAGGTGCCAGAAGTTGGTTGACTCCATGCAACAGAGATGTACAGCAGTTCTCAGAATCAGTGCTTGTACAGCTAAATATTAATTGATTCAAAGGAAAGCAAAATCTTCAAACATTTTTCAGTTTATATAGTGAATGTTTGAGTTTGTAAAGAAGAATACAAATACTGCTATTTTTTTGAACAGTATAACCACTTTTCTTCAATTGTTTTAGAGGAACAACACAAATTTGATATATTTTTCTTCATGGTTTGATTTGGAATAGAATGCATAGTGTTTCCAATGCATTTGTGTGTATGGAAATAAAAGCTCTTAGGAGTTTGAGCTTCATTCACTTTTTTCAACACACTGCTATTATTTTGAACGTGTGTGCGCGTGTGCGTGTGTGTGTGTGCGCGTGTGTGTGTGTGTGTGCGCGTGTGCGTGTGTGTGTGTGTGATATCAAGAAAGATGTTGAAAGGCTTTCTAACAGTTGACTACAATAAATGAAAATATTTTTAACTCCTTGGCACCAACGGTATGCAGATATGCGGCCTCTCAGCGGCTGGACCATATATTTGCGTACCCGATGTAAAGAAATGTGCTAAGAGCGCACTCCTGGCACAGTTAACGGTGCCCCATGGATAATTCTTCCCAATCGCTACTTGTGATTGTGAGCTTTCCAATCACGTGACAAGCCAATCATGGCAGTCACATGCCCCTAAACCCCTTCCAACCTCCCACCAGTGCCAAGGGGTTAATACAGTGCCTTGAAAAAGTATTCATACCCCTTGAAATTTTCCACATTTTGTCATGTTACAACCAAAAACGTAAATGTATTTTTTGGGATTTTATGTGATAGACCAACACAGTGGCACAGAATTGTGAAGTGAAAGGAAAATGATAAATGTTTTTCAAAATTCTTTACAAATATCTGAAAAGTGTGGCGTGCATTTGTATTCCCTTTACTCTGATACCCTTAACTAAAATCTAGTGCAAACAATTGCCTTCAGAAGTCGCCTAATTAGAAAATAGTCCACCTGTGTGTAATTTAATCTCAGTATAAATACAGCGGTTCTGTGAAGCCCTCAGGTTTATTACATTTACTAATTTAGAACATTAGTGAACAAACAGCATTATGAAGGCCAAGGAGCACACCAGACAGGTCAGGGATAAAGTTTAAAGCAGGGTTAGGTTATAAAAAAATATCCCATGCTTTGAACATCTGACAATGCAATGTTCCAATCCATCATCCGAAAATGGAAGGGGTATGGCACAACTGCAAACCTACCAAGACATGGCCGTCCTAAACTGACAGGCTGGGCAAGGAGAGCTTTAATCGATGAAGCAGCTACGAGGCCCATTGTAACTCTGGAGGAGCTATGTATGGCAGAAAACTGCACATCACCCTGAACGCACCAACCCCGCCCTGAAATGTGGTGGCAGCATAATGTTGTGGGGATGTTTTTCTTCAGCAGGGACAGGGAAACTGGTCAGAGTTGATTGGAAGATGGATGAAGCCAAATAGAGGGCAATCTGCGAAGAAAGCCTGTTAAGAGTCTGCAAAAGACTAGAAACTGGGTCAGAAGAGGTTCACCTTCCAGCAGGACAATGACCCTAAACATACAGCCAGAGCTACAATGAAATGGTTTAGGTCAAAGCATATTCATTTGTTAGAATGGCCCAGTTAAAGCCTAGACCTAAATCCAATTGAGAATCTGTAGCAAGACTTGGAAATTGCTGTTCACAGACGCTCTCCATCCAATCTGACAGAGCTTGAGCTATTTTGCAAAGAAGAATGGGCAATAATTTCACTATCTAGATGTGCAAAGCTGGTAGAGACATCCCCAAAAAGACTTGCAGCTGTAATTGCAGCGAAAGGTGGTATTGACTCGGGAGGGCTGAATACAAATGCACGCCACACTTTTCAGATATTTATTTGTAAAAAAAAACATTTTCCTTCCACTTCACAATTTTGTGCCAATTTGTATTGTGTTGAATTTTTTAGCACCTGTAACCTTTAATCTTCCATCATATAGTTGATAATTTGTACTATGTACTAATAATTAGGTATGTGGTGCATTGATTTAGGAAGCCAGTTGTAATTTATACTAATGCTAAAAGTGTTTTTGATTTTTTTTTTTTTTTTTTACAGATAAAGCCTACCTGTGTCTGGCTGTTCTTAACAGCACATTAAGTGTTATCTTCTTGCATGGCCGCAACACCCCTTTGAGCTCCCCATTAAATACTCCACGTCTGATGAAAAGTTTAAGTCTTGAAATACCTCCAGATGACTCGAATGACAAAATCATGTCACCAATGCATTATGCGCGTTCTGGTCTGGGAACGGCTGAACTGAATGGCAAACTAATTGCAGCAGGTAAGTATAGAAACCTAAAAAGTGTGATGACTTTTCTTTGAGTATAGAGCTACTTGTCCAAAATTGTTTAAATTTACTGTTGACTGGCTCACTAGCTCTGCTGGATATTTGTTACAAGCATCACTACTTTTTTGGTAAAAAAATAATGTAAGGTTAGTTTCGAAATTTCCTCCTGTTTAAACCCTTGGCGCCTTGTGAGCCACCCATAACTTAGCTGGAGAGCTGTCAGGAATTGTGTTCAGCTGAAAATATTCTTGGATGGAATTAGCTACTGCTTGACGGGCGTTAATGTCTGTAACCGCCAAGAGTAGGGAGTGGACGCTAGACCTATAAAGGTGATTGATAGCGCTACAATATGATGATCTGACCAAGAACACAAATGTATTGCCACCTTTGTGGAGTTGGCTAGCAGGATGGGGGAGCAATAGATATAATCCAGCCTAGCATAAGAGTCAGGCCGATGAGAGTAAAATGAGTAGTCCCTTGCTCCCACATTGTGTGCTTTCCAGGAGTCCACCAGCTGAAGTGCTTCTAATCTTTTAGTAAGGGATTTAGGGAAGGCCAGGGAAGAAGGTGAGGATGAACTTCTATCCAGCAAAGGGTTGGCCACCAGATTAAAGTCACCTCCCACCAGTAGATGGAGGGGACAGGAACTTCTCAAGAATATTCTAAAACGTGAAAAAAAAGTTGCTTGAGCTGAATTCAGTGCATAAACATTGGCTATTGTAAGTTTGTGATCCTAAAGGGTGCCTTTAATAATAATAAATCTGCTCTCTGGGTCACGGTAGACATGTTGTGCCTCAAAGGGAAATGAGGTATGAAGAAAAATTGCTACACCCCTGCTCTTAGTGGAGTGTAAGGTGTAAAACCCCTATTTATATGATCTGTGAAAAAATATGGGTTGTTTAGCCGTTGCAAAATAGGTCTCTTGTAGTAGAATAATCTTTGCCCCTAATCGTCTATATTGGAGAAAGGAGTTTTGCGCTTATTTGGAGAATTGAAACCTTGGACATTATGTAAGATGCAATGAATCACCATGGTTAAATGCAAGAAAAATAGTGTCTTTGACAACATTATCGTATCAATCTGATCTGCATCAGAAGTCTTTGGTGTTATTAATGGAGCCCCCAGATCTGCAACTTGTAAGGTGAAACCTGCCAGTATTTTATTCAATATCCATGCCGCAAAGATGTGGGAAGCAGATCCATAACATTGCATATGACTACCCTCATGTACTGAAATAATAAAAAAAACAAGATCATAAAACAGTTGAAACAGGACCCAAAGAGCCCCTAAAGCTAAAGAAGACACAACAAACTATGGATCAGGTAGGAGAGCTGCCTTACTTGAAAAGACAAACATAATATCAAAGGGCCAACAGGGCCCAACCCCGTCGCTGTAAAACATGGAGAGCAGAGTTGCCACTCCACAACAGGGCGGTGACCTCTCCGACCATGCCCAGCAACAGGGTGGGGTTGTGTATCAACGATTGCCACTGAAACAGCATATGGGGCCATAAGTTATGGGTCTAATATCCCATTCAAAATTATAGCACGTCCAGATAATTAGGGGGTAAACCCAAAATTAATAGACACAGGTAAATGTAATGCGTCAGCAGCCTGTCTCAATATCATATCAAAATAGAAAGTGGTAATCAAATGAGCAAATCTCGGTTCTTGTCTGATTCTCCTATTGCGTCGTGGAGATGGAGCGTTCCAGTAAGGAGATACCCGAGGGGTAGAAGGTGGACGTTGAGGTGTGGGAGCATCTACCAGGCCCAACTTCGCCAGGATTTCTTGCCCTTCAGAAAGAGTTGTAGCTGTATATTTGCTGCCATTGTGTGGAACTATCAGCTTAAAGGGAAAGCCCCATTTGTAGCGAATTTGAGCCGAAGAAAAAGAGCAGACATGATCTCCCCTCATTTTTTGGCGTTTCTCCAATGTGGCCGGAGAGACATCTGGAAGAATTTGCAGTGTTGAGCCCTCAAAAGAGATCACAGAAGTGTTGCGAGCAGCTCTAAGTATTTCTTCTTTAATCAGGAAATCCTTCATACTTAGAACAATGTCCTGAGGCGGTCTATCATTAGGAGGCTTAAGGCGCAAAGCTCTATGTATACCAGGGCTTAAAATTTTGAGTCTAGACCTACTAGCCAGGCACAAACCTTATTCTCCACCAGTTGCCCCACCCAACCTTGCCCAGGTCTGCCTCCAACCCCACCCCTGGCCCATCCCCCAGCCCTGCCCCGAACCACGCCCCCAAGCTCCTGCTACATAGATCCGATCACCGTGGCGCAACACCTGCGCCCCGACTTATTTTTTATACTGTACAAATGACTATCACTCTAAGGGGGGAGGAGGGAATACAGTCAGGTCCATAAATATTGGGACATCGACACAATTCTAACATTTGTGGCTCTATACACCACCACAATGGATTTGAAATAAAAATGTACAAGATGTGCTTTAACTGCAGACTGTCAGCTTTAATTTGAGGGTATTTACATCCAAATCAGGTGAAGGGTGTAGGAATTACAACAGTTTGCATATGTGCCTCCCACTTGTTAAGGGACCAAAAGTAATGCGACAATTGGCTTGTCAGCTGATCCATGGCCAGGTGTGTGTTATTTCCTCATTATCCCAATTACAATGAGCAGATAAAAGGTCCAGAGTTCATTTCAAGTGTGCTATTTGCATTTGGAATCTGTTGCTGTCAACTCTCGATGAGATCCAAAGAGCTGTCACTATCAGTGAAGCAAGCCATCATTAGGCTGAAAAACAAAACAAACCCATCAGAGAGATAGCAAAAACATTAGGCGGCGTTTGGAACATTCTTAAAAAGAAGTAACGCACCGGTGAGCTCAGCAATACCAAAAGACCCGGAAGACCACGGAAAACAACTGTGGTGGATGACCGAAGAATTCTTTCCCTGGTGAAGAAAACACCCTTCACAACAGTTGGCCAGATCAAGAACACTCTCCAGGAGGTAGGTGTATGTGTGTCAAAGTCAACAATCAAGAGAAGACTTCACCAGAGTGAATACAGAGGGTTCACCACAAGATGGAAACCATTGGTGAGCCTCAAAAACAGGAAGGCCAGATTAGAGTTTGCCAAACGACATCTAAAAATGCCTTCACAGTTCTGGAACAACATCCTATGGACAGATGAGACCAAGATCAACTTGTACCAGAGTGATGGGAAGAGAAGAGTATGGAGAAGGAAAGGAACTGCTCATGATCCTAAGCATACCACCTCATCAGTGAAGCATGGTGGTGGTAGTGTCATGGCGTGGGCATGTATGGCTGCCAATGGAACGGGTTCTCTTGTATTTATTGATGATGTGACTGCTGACAAAAGCAGCAGGATGAATTCTGAAGTGTTTCGGGCAATATTATCTGCTCATATTCAGTCAAATGCTTCAGAACTCATTGGACGCCGCTTTACAGTGCAGATGGACAATGACCCAAAGCATACTGCAAAAGCAACCAAACAGTTTTTTTAAGGGAAAGAAGTGGAATGTTATGCAATGGCCAAGTCAATCACCTGACCTGAATCCGATTGAGCATGCATTTCACTTGCTGAAGACAAAACTGAAGGGAAAATGCCCCAAGAACAAGCAGGAACTGAAGACAGTTGCAGTAGAGGCCTGGCAGAGCATCACCAGGGATGAAAGCCAGCGTCTGGTGATGTCTATGCGTTCCAGACTTCAGGCTGTAATTGACTGCAAAGGATTTGCAACCAAGTGTTAAAAAGTGAAAGTTTGATTTATGATTATTATTCTGTCCCATTACTTTTGGTCCCTTAACAAGTGGGAGGCACATATGCAAACTGTTGTAATTCCTACACCCTTTACCTGATTTGGATGTAAATACCCTCAAATTAAAGCTGACAGTCTGCAGTTAAAGCACACCTTGTTTGTTTCATTTCAAATCCATTGCAGTGGTGTATAGAGCCAAAAATGTTAGAATATTGGCAATGTCCTAATATTTATGGACCTGACTGTATAGGCCGTGGCACAAATGGAGCTCCCCACGAAGGCTGGATGCCCAAACCGTACAGGTGCGAGCCCCAATAGGATCCCTGCCCCAGTTGTACTGTCAGGCAGGGTACAGGCTGCAGAGACTTTGGTCACCAGAGTCTCAGAGGGGGTGTAGAGAGCCCGGATTCTCCCTCCCACACCCCCCCCGGCGTTGCGCCATTCCGGAGGGGGGAGCACATGCTTCACTGGTGTGTAGGCTCTATCAAGCCTCGGCCTCTGGTGCCTGGAAGGGGGATCAGGTGGCAACCTAGGGCTCTCCCGGGGCAGCGGACTTACTGTGTTGAGTCTGGGAGTCAGGGCAGCGGCACTCCGGCAGGCCCAAATCCCGGTCCATAAGGAGGCCGCAGGGGTCAAACCCACACCGTTCCGCTCCTCGGGCAGCGGGTAAAGTCAGCGGGGCACCCGGTGTAATTTTAGAGGCTGCTGTGTGTAGGATGGCAGTGGCTTCAGTAGTGAAGCGGCGGACCTTTAAGCTATGCAGCCACTCCGGTCGCCATCTTGGATACGCCCCCGCCTTTTATTTTTTATCAAGAAAAATACATGGCTTCTTCTGGCTGAGGTGGAGACTGTTGATGCCATTTGTCTGCCATCTCCAATCTGAAGACCCATTTGCTTTGTATTCATTGCTAAAAATACATTCTGCTGAATGGCTGAGAAGCACTCGGCCTCATTCAGTTTTGTTCCAACAGCAGACTGGAACATCCCAGAGACACTGACGGAACACAGGGCTGCATACTGTATGTAGCTGATGTATACAGTATGATAAAGCACTCACAGCAGCCACACCTCTTAGTAACGGTAATGGTTCATTTCAATCACTTTACCCCAAACAAACTTTTTAAAGTAACAGGAAAACATGAACTTGGGCTTTAAGAATATCAATCAAATTCCCCTTTTCTCTTCTTTTCTAATTGTTTAACAAAGAAATTTTCAAATGCAAGTGTGACTATTAAAGAATTGTCAGAAATTGACAGTGTTCATAGGTATCTTTGTCTTCTCTAAGTGTCTTATTTGTGAATTTTCTTTGTTTCCTATACAGGTGGCTACAACAGAGAAGAGTGTCTACGTACAGTTGAATGCTATGACCCAGAAAGTGACACCTGGACATTTCTGCCTCCAATGAAAACACCTAGAGCTCGGTTTCAAATGGCAGTTTTAATGGTATGCGTCGTTTTTTTTTTTTTTTCAACATTTCGATTACAGGTCACACTATCCCAATATTTTGTATAAATATTCATGCATCCAGGTAAATAAGAGTTTAGTCTAAATGGCTTGCTTTTTCTCCTTTCCATGTCCCTGCAGTCAGCTAAGTGTTAATAAAAGATCTCTTTTTGTGGCATTAAGGTCATAATATGCATTTTATGACTTTGTTACATAAGTGATGTGTAAAATGTGCATTTCACACTTGTTAGGATGAACTGTATGTTGTCGGTGGATCAAATGGTCAGTCTGATGATCTTAGCTGTGGAGAGAAATATGATCCTAAAGCAAGTGCGTGGACACCTTTTCCTGAGCTCAGAACAAACCGTTGTAATGCAGGTATGAGTGTGTTTTTGTAATCTGTGCTGCACAAATCTGCAAGCTCTAAACGTTTTTAAAAGGGTGTAGAACCTACTGCTCTTATTCTCTTGATGATCCCTCTCAGTATAGGTCCCTCTCCTGGTTCCCAAGAGTCCAGGTCAGCACCAGGGGTTTCTTTCTCGTTTAAAATGGGATACCCTGTGCGTCAGTGCTTAAGGCTCTGCTTCTTTATGGACAGGAGATTAGCTTAGGCAGCTTCTCAGCTAGGCCTCCTGTCAGTGCACATAAGACACATTCCTTTGGCTCAAGTGTTGATTGGTGGAGCTCCCGTGCTAGACGCAGCTGATAAGGCAGAATGTTTGTTAGTTTAGTTATGCCTTGGATACTTTATCCACAAGTTCGCAGAAGGCAAGTGTACTCTTTCCCTTTGAAAAAGAAGGCATAGACTCTAAGCCCTCTGCCCTTTGACAGGGCAAGATGTTTGCGCACATAACATTTTAGACCTTGTGTCCAGGCTTTACAAGTTGAAGTTTCACACCTTGCTTCTCTTTACTTGTGTCCTCCTATGTAGCCTCTCAGGCAGCCAGAAGATCCACTTTCCTGCAGGGAACAGAGCAGCTTCTTTTAAAGGGCTTCATTACACTTGTTCCAGAAGAGGAAAGGTGTGAGGGGTTCTTCTCCTTCCTGTTACCTGTCTCCAAGTTGAATGGGGATATGTGCCTGTGCTTAGAACTTCGGGTACAGAAATTCTGTATGGAATCTATAGTAAAATTTTTTTCCTTCCATCCAGGAATATCAAGAATGTGTAATTGCACATCCCTGTTTCAACCTCACCATTGTTTCCTATGGTTTGTGGTGGACAAAGAGCAAATCTTAATCGTACAGTACACAGACAACTTATTTATACACCATGAAGCTTTGGAGGACATGAGGGCACCTCCCTTATAACCCTACCTCACTCCTTGAATCTTCAGTTGTGTTTTTTTTTTTTTTTTTTTTTTTTTTTTTGCTAGTGTCTGTAAGTGACAGACCTCTTCTTCCCTGGAAAACCAGCTTCACTAGCTTCTTTTTTTTTTTCATATTTTACTTTATCTTATTTTTTTTTTATTTTTTTCACTCAACCATCCCTGTCTTCGAAGGTTTACACATAAGTAGTGTATTTGGATTGGTGCAGCCTCAGTAAAACCATGAGAACCACACCCCGACTACACGTTGTGGGGGATGGCCTGTAATATTGCTTCAGGCGCTGGATCCTGGGGCACTCGCCTTGGCACTTTGTGCAATCCATTTAGTCTCGGTGCTGTACTGGTCCAGGATATATCCATCACAATGGATCCCAGTCCCTGAAGACCCCTTCAAGGAAATGCCGACTGTGACAGACAAAGCCTGGGCTTTATTTACAATCCAGCATCATGGACAGGTTAAATAGGGTCACCCTGTATCTTTTTAGCACTGTAAAATAGGGGTTATGTTTGGAATGTATCCACTGCACAGTGCAAGCTTTTCAAACTTGACACTAACATTCAGCCACTCAAAGCTCCGTGTCAGGTGAACGACCAGGTGCTAAATTCCATCACTGGTTGCATACTTTTTAAGGCCACATCTGCCTAGAACTTGGTTTATTACTCTGGCGTTTCATTCCATCCTTTTTTCACAAGGATTTGTTGCTGGACAGTCTTAAGGGTTTTTGCATTTGCCTTCTGGACATTTTTCTTTTCTTTTTTTTTTTTTCCAGATAGTTTAATTGAGGTACATTGAAAGGACAAAACAGAAGAGTACCAGTATACATTAATAGAACATGACTATTAGCATTGTAACAGTGGTAGTAGTCAGTGTTCTGATAAATTCATAAGGAACAATTTTAGCATTTATTGTACATTTTTTTGGCAGAGGTTTCAGAGCATAGTTCATCTTTCTATATGCTTAAAGGAACAGTGATGACATTCTCTAGTGATATTTGACTAAATACTACCAAAGAATGGTCTATGGAAGCTTACAGACATAAAACAAAGCATAAATACTAGTGGCCATAGGGGTTGGTAATAGGACCTTTTCTCATCCATAGATATGAACTGATTATTCTGATAGTTACTAGCAGAACCCTTTACACTCGCCTATCCAACACTAACTGTGGAGGGGCAAGCCCAGGTACATCCAACCAGCCATGTCAGATGGTATGGAATTTGATTTGGGCATTGCGCTGCTGGTAAGTGAGTTGCTTTCTGAGCAATAAAGAGTTGACATGCTCCACCCATTGTTGTCTAGTCGGGGAATTGGAGGATAGCCAGTAGTGGGTGATTAGTTTCTCGTTAGGTATATCAGCCTTAGAATCATTTTAATAAACTCTGGGTTCATAAAGCTCGGCGTCCAAAGCTCCCAACAAGCAGGTCAGCTTTCTGGAAACTCTTACCATATTTCCCACTCTACTTCGTGAATATCCCACAGGAGAAAACCCTCACTTGTAGCAATGGCGGATCCCAGGCAAGAGGGAGCAAATTCTAAACAAGCAAACATTCGCTCTGCTGAAGGCCTGCACAACACTCAATCTCAGAATGATGTGTCCCTTGAACCAGTGCATGACCTGGTTCTAACACTGGTCTCGATATCCGATTCTAGCCCTATTTCAGGCATGTAACAAGTGGCTTATTTGACAAAAGCTGAATTTTCTGCATGCATGCATATTTCTCAGACAATGGCTTTAATTATACCTTCTTTCTCCAGAACTCAAACGCTCTGTCTCTTCTACTCTAGTTTCTTAAACCTGAGTCAGACCCTGATGGAGGATATTGAGGCAGTATTGAAGGAATCTGCAAAAGATTTCTGTCCCCTCATTGTCACTATATTGAAGAGGGTGCTGTGTGCAATATGCTTGCTGATGTTGAAAAGCTCATTGCCTCTGCCCACAAAAGCCCTTGGCATAGTGCAGGTTATCTCACTTCCATCTCGCTATGCCCCTTTCTGCACCCCTGAAAGGATTTCCATGGCCTTAAAAATCTTTGCTAAACTCTATCAAGTGGAAAAAGTTTACACAAAAATGTGCTGTTTCTGTTGTTGATCCTGTCTGTTTCTAAACAAGCATCTCTCACTGAACCTATTCAAGATGTTCCTGCCTAGGTTCTACTGACAGAAAATTTGAGATGCTCCTGAAAGCTCTTTCTTACCTGGCATGCCCAGCCCTGCAACCAGCTCTTGCAGCTATTTCTGTGTGTAAGACTTCAGCTCACTGGACTAGGACAATGAATAAACAACTTGACTGTGTTTTTCAGGCTCATGCGGTTGCAGAGCAATTACAGTTGCCTTCTGCTTTTTTCTGTGTGGATTCCCTGGAGCATGTCATAAAACAAATATCCAGAATGGTTCTAAACATCATTCATATGTGCAGAATACCCTTCCAAGGAAGAGGTCTGTTTTGTGAGGCACTTGACCCATTAATTAAAAGAGGTCGCTGATGGGAAAGTTTTGCTTCCTCAGAAGATGACAAAACTTCCCTTCTTTAGGAGCTTCTAGCTCACCTAAATGCAGAGCACCTTCATGCTCTACCCAGGCTTCAACTTCAAAACCTAAGTTCAACCCTTCTTCTTGACACAAGGCTTGACCCACAAAGGCCATCAAGCTCTCTCCAAAGCCGACTTTACAGTGAAAGGGTAACAAACACAAAAATAGTGAAGCGCTAAAACGAATCCCTAAATACGCACACAGTGCATATAATAATAAATGAAAACCATATCTCATAAATCAAATATATCCGTGACATAAAAAAATATCAATAGAAAAACAAAAAAAACCTTTTCTATGCCCCTAAATTATTCCTTTAAATCAAACAATAATAAAAAATAGAAAATCCATGATAATAAGCAGTGATGAAACAAAATATATATAAAAACTGTGTTAATAAATATATATATATATATATAAATATATATATATATGTGATAATACCAATAATATATGTGACACCTAACAGAATAAAGGCATATAAATAGTGAATCTCAAACAAATACGTGATTATTGTGAAAACACCATATATTAAGCTATTACATAAAAAATCCACTAAAACTTGTGATGTTTAAATATGAAAAAGTGTCCATAAATGAACAAACACAGTCCATGCAGTAAGGTGAAACGACACTCAGTGTTCTTCACTTCTAGTGCTCATGAAAAAGAAAGGGAAGAAATCCTCCAATGGCAGCAATGCCTGCTCACCTCCCCAACTCGACCCGCAAAGGGCCACAAGGCTATATCTCTCCTCCAGGTAATCCTTTGCTTCCAAGCAGCTCAATAAGGAATCACAGGACCTCCTCTCCACCTCCTCTCAAACGTCATATAGGACACAAACAGAGCTTCCCATAGTGTAATACCATTTATTTCAGACACTCCATATAGCAAAAAGTTTCCACTCACATGCGTATTGTTAGTAAAATGCAATCCTCCTCTTTCCCTGGGTGCATTCACATGTGCATAGGGAAACCAATATGGTCGCTGTGCTCGGACATCCGTCCCCACGTGACCGGAAGTGATGTGTCTCTGGGCTGGGAAAAGCGTTCCGACGCGTTGCGTCACGTGCGTCGTGACTTCATCAGGATGAAGTCACGACGCACGTGACGCAACGCGTCGGAACGCTTTTCCCAGCCCAGAGACACATCACTTCCGGTCACGTGGGGACGGATGTCCGAGCACAGCGACCATATTGGTTTCCCTATGCACATGTGAATGCACCCAGGGAAAGAGGAGGATTGCATTTTACTAACAATACGCATGTGAGTGGAAACTTTTTGCTATATGGAGTGTCTGAAATAAATGGTATTACACTATGGGAAGCTCTGTTTGTGTCCTATATGACGTTTGAGAGGAGGTGGAGAGGAGGTCCTGTGATTCCTTATTGAGCTGCTTGGAAGCAAAGGATTACCTGGAGGAGAGATATAGCCTTGTGGCCCTTTGCGGGTCGAGTTGGGGAGGTGAGCAGGCATTGCTGCCATTGGAGGATTTCTTCCCTTTCTTTTTCATGAGCACTAGAAGTG